CCCAATTTTTTTTTTTTTAACATTTATTTAGTTTTGTTGCAAAGTCAGATATACACAGAGAGGAGGAGAGACAGAGAGGAAGATCTTCCGTCTGATGATTCACTCCCCAAGTGAACGCAACGGCCGGTGCTGTGGCGGGAGGAAGACATGGAAGAGGATCTGGGCTCCTGGCTTCAGATGGGCGCATGTCTGACCTTTGCCTTTCTAGGCACATCAGAAGACAACAGTATCACAGAGCAGTCAGAACTTAAGATGGTATGAATAAGGGATTGTTTAAGCCACTGTGCTACAACACTAGACCCAGCACCAAAATGTAACAGTTTTCAATATCAAAGTATCACTTGCTGTCTTAAAACTACTCACTTTCTGAACAAGTGTAGTATGAGAGGGAAACTGAAAATCTCAAGACTAAGTTCCTGTTCTAGATACAAACTGAATTTTTCCTTCGGCCTATCCTTGCCTTGCATGTGCTGGGATCCCATATGGGTGTCAGTTCATTTCCCAGCTGCCCCATTTCCCACCGAGCCCTTGCTTGTGGCCTGGGAAAGCAGTTGAGGATGGTCCAAAGCCTTTGGATCCTGCACCTGAATGGGAGACTTGGCAAAAGCTCCTGGCTCCTGGCTCCTGGCTTCTGGCGAGTTCAACTATGGCCACTGTAGCCACTTGGAAAGTGAGTCAGCAGAGAATCTTTGTCTTTTTTTGTCTCTCCGTCTCTGCATAAATCTGACTTTCCAATAAAAACAAATATAATATTTTTTTAAAAAACTGAACTTGAGAATCTCATTCCCATCCCCCAACCCTTCCTCAACCCTGCCCACTTACCAACTATCCTCAGGCATTCATTTGCAGGCACCAATCCCCTAGTGCCTGCCTTCAATCCCTCCTAATCCAGCTTCCTTGTGCCTTGCGAGCAGGTGCCTATATTTGACCTTCCCCTTGCCGCCCTACTACCACCTCAGTCCTGTTCCTGCCCTGCTAGAGGTATCTCCATGTTCCCTTCCCCTAGCTGCCCTCCCATCACCTCAGTCCTGTTCCTGCCCCGGTGCAGATGCCTCCAGGTTCCCCCTTTCTCGCTGCTCTTACCACCACCTCCGTCCCATTCTTGCCCTGCTGGAATAAACCTCTAAAGTACCTCGTTGTGTCTGGTGTTTTCGGAAATCGCCTCACTGAGTCTGGTGTTTTTGGCTGACGGTAAAAGAACCAGGCTGCGGGAATTGCTGGCATAACAACGTAAAAAACAGACCTTGAACTGTTTTAAATAACTAACAAAGGGATTACAGAGGGTACACAGGGTTAACAGAACTTGCAATGTCAGAATCACATATTGGGGAATACTGGTTCCTGTCCTAGCAACTCGGCTACGAAGCTATAATACAACTTCCTGCCAATGCACCCTGGAAGGTAGTAAGGTTGGCCCAAGTACTTGGTCCCTCACTACCCACCGAGGAGACCATGGAGTTCCTGGTTCCAGGTTTCTGCTTGGCAAGTTCTGGCTACTTTGGTCATTTTATGAACCAGACTGTAGACCATGACAATGACAATTTGATTTTGGGTCTCTGCCCCTTTCTTTTTCAAACAAATAATGTATATACATATTGAAACATAATATGATACTACACAAATATGTATACATACATAAATTCAAATAATTTTTACAATTCAACTTTGTTTATTCAGAAAATATTTGAGTTTCTTTTATTTATTTGAAAGGCAGAATAACAAAAAAGGAAGCAGAAAGAATCTCCCATCCACTGATTCACTCCCCAAACTTAGGAGCCTGGAGATTCTTTTTTTTTTTTTTTTTTTTTTTTAAAGATTTATTTTATTTTTATTGGAAAGGCGGATATACAGAGAGGAGAGACAGAGAGGAAGATCTTCCATCCGATGATTCACTCCCCAAGTGAGCGCAACGGGCCGATACTATGCCGATCCGAAGCCAGGAGCCTCTTCCAGGTCTCCCACGTGGGTGCAGGGTCCCAAAGCTTTGGGCCATCCTCGACTGCCTTCCCGGGCCACAGGCAGGGAGCTGGATGGGAAGTGGAGCTGCCAGGATTAGAACCGGCGCCCATATGGGATCCCGGGCGTGCAAGGCGAGGACCTTAACCACTGCGCCACCGCACCGGGCCCGAGCCTGGAGATTCTTCTAGGTCTTCCATGTGGGTGCAGGGGTCCAAGTAATTTGGCTTTTATTGTTTTCACAGGTGCATCAGCAGGAAGATGAATTGGAAGCAGCACAGCTGGGTCTCAATATAACACCCACATGGGATGCTAAGGTTGCAAACAATGATCTAACCTGCTACTCCAAAATGGCAGTCACAAAGAATTGTTTAATGTTTCATTTACTTGAAAGGCAGAACAATGGAGAGACAAAAAAAAATCCTGCAACAAGCAAGGCTGGACCAGGCAGAAGCTAGGAATCGTGAACTCAGTCTGAGTCTTCCACACGGGAGGCAGAGATCCAACTATTTGAGCTATTATGTGCTGTATCCTATGGCACGCATTAGCAGGAAGGAGAGTGGGGCTGGGACTTGAATTCAGGTACACCTATAAGGGAATCTGAGTATTCCAAGTGGACACTCCTGTGCCAAAGACTGGACCCAAGACATTTAAAAGATATGCTACACGACAAGTCCAAATAAAATAACCCATCAGGAATCTACACTTTAGTGAGAAGCAACACTGGGATCACACTGCCCTCTTTTAAAATTATGATAGATACAAGCAAACTACTCTCAATATCACTCTACAAACATATCTTCCACCAACAATCCTTGAGACTTGCTTATTTCCCTTGCAACTTACCAAAACTGAGTGTTATGCAATTTTTTGTTGCTGTCAAAAAAACAGTACAGGACATAACAAAAATAAACTAAGATTAAGACCCTTAAAATATGTAACTAATGCAACTCTGAGAATGTATGAACTGTATTAGAACAAATACTCTAATATTTACTCTAAGAAATGAACAAAATTTTAAACTTCAGTTGTTAATGTACCACTTTCTGAACCATGTATCTAAAACTTAAAAAAATACATATTTAATGAAATTAAGAGTTCATGACTGAAGTTTATAAATTAATAAAAACTTTGAGAGAAGGGAGATAAAAAGAGAATGGAGAAGGGAAGAGGCAGGGGAAGGGCAGGTGAAAAGAGAAGGAGGAGGAGGGAAGGAGGGAGTAAGGAAGACAGAGAGAGAGAGAAAAAAAAAAAAGAAGTGAACAAACAAAAGAACAAGAACTTTCACCCACAGCTGGTTTGCTCCCTAAATGCTTGCACTATAAGGGCTGACTAGGGGCAAGAACAGGAGCTGGAAAGCGTGGAAAGTGATCCAGGTCGTCCATGTGAATGGTAGGAAGCCAATTACTTGATCCATCAAGGCTGCGTCTCAGGGTCTATATTAGCAGAGAGATGTACTGAGGAACAGGGTTTGGGAATCACATCCAGGCATTCCAATCTGAGAACTAGGAATATTCAACTGCTAGGCTAAATACCTCCTCCTAAACTATTGTAATTTTAAGAATAAATTATAGTTTGAAAACTTTACTCATAGAATTGACTTTTGTTTTATTCTTTCACTTTAGCATAAGTTTGAGTCAGAGTGACTTCACTCCCAATCCAGCTCCCTGCTTTTATACACTTGAGAAAGCTGCATAAGATGGCCCAAGTACTTGAACCGTTGTACCCACGTGGGAAATTCAGATGTAGTTCTTGACTCCTGGCCTTGGACTTGCTCTAGTCCTGGCCACTGTGGCCATTTGAGGAGTGAGCCAATAGCCGGAAGATCTGTTTCTGTCTTTACCTTCTTTGTCATTCTGCCATTCGGATGAATACTCAAACCATTTTTTAACAATTACATAAACATAGGGCAGCATTAAGACACAGTTGGTTAGGACAACACCTACGACAGTAACATCTGATATGAGAGTCCACTGGCTGTAGCCATTGTAGCTGCTGTGCTTCCAGTCCAGCTCCTTGCAAATGAGCTTGGGTCAACAGCAGAGAAGGGCTTGGCTCTGACTGCTGTGGCCATTTGGGGAATGAACCAGTAGATTAAAGGTCTGTCTCACCTTCTCTGAGTAATTCTGCCTTGGGAGTGGCATCATGCTGTAACTAATTAAGTCCTATCCTAGATCCAGGCATCTCATATGAGAACACTTATATGGGAGTTTCAGCTATTTTGCTTCTGATCCAGCCTCACAAAAAATTTCTATCTCTTTTCTTTGTTATTTCTGTATTTCAACTAAGTAAATTAATCTGTAGAAAAATAACTTATAAAGATTAAAAAAAGAAAAACGTAAATTTCCTAAGATATGGGTGCAGGACAGAAATTACTAAAGAAATGCAGGCATTTGGTCTAGTAATTAAAAACACCTGCATTCTAGGGCCCAGCGCGGTGGCGCAAGTGGTTAAGGTCCTCACCTTGCATGCCTGGGATCCCATATGGGCGCCGGTTCTAATCCCGGCAGCCCCGCTTCCCTTCCAGCTCCCTGCCTGTGGCCTGGGAAAGCAGTCGAGGACGGCCCAAAGCTTTGGGACCCTGCACCCGTGTGGGAGACCTGGAAGAGGCTCCTGGCTTCGGATCGGCATAGTATCGGCCCGTTGCGCTCACTTGGGGAGTGAATCATCGGACGGAAGATCTTCCTCTCTGTCTCTCCTCTCTGTATATCCGCCTTTCCAATCAAAAAATAATAAAAATAAATCTTTAAAAAAAAAAACACCTGCATTCTATACCACAGTGACTGGGTTAGAGTCCCAGCTGCATTCCTCATTCGACCTTCTTGCTGAAACACATACTGGCATACAGCGAGTAATGGCTCAACTATCGGGGCCTCAGTCTCTAATGCTGTAGACCTGTTTTGAATTCCAGCTCCAGGTTTCCAGGTTTGGCTTAGTTGCTGTCATTGCAGGCATTTGGAAGTGTGAAAGATAATTTTTAAAAAAATTAAATTCAAATATTGTCAAATTATCAACGATGACAAATTGTTGGGAATTCTACTTACCCGTTTCGAAGAACAGTGTTCATTCTTTTCATCAGTCATTTTCCCAGTTTTAAGTGTTTTCCTTGGATGCTTTATAGTTGTTTTTATGGCTGGTCGACATACATAATTTTCCAAGTTCTTTGGAGGTTTTTTAGTTCTTTTAGCCTGAAGGCCAATTTTCAATTTTAAGTTTCCCTCTGAAAAGTTTGTTTCTTTCACTGAAAACTGTTGCTGTGCATCAGTCAAACCATCCTCTTTCCCTGTTTCGATGTTTCTTTCCCGATTCCGTTTTCGAAGGTCCTCTTCCTCTTTTGCGTTATTCTCTAGCTCCACTTCTCTCTTATTGACCAGCGTGCCAGAATGGATGGCAGAAGGACTCTTTCGTAAAAAACCTTCGGAATCAGAGCCCAATCCTAACATAGCAGTATTTCTAGGGTCCATCACAAGCATATATATTGCCAAGAAATCTTAGGAAAATTTTAAAGAACCGTGTTCCACAAAAAGCAGGGATCTCCAAAACTTGGAACCAGCATCTCTTTCTCTGCAGAACAGACCATAACAAAAATTTGTCATTTTATAGGTAAAAACAAGCTTCAGTGAATAAGCTATGCATCAAAATGTAAGATCTGCTGTGATATAACTACACCATTAAGCTTCTGCAACTGATGGTCACCCAAAGTCTAAGACGAGTTTACATATGTTTACCAGAGATCCTCAGCTTCAACAGAAGTACATCATATATTTTCGTTGAATTAAATTAGTTTCAACAAAGGTAAGGCATCATGTTTCAAAATCGTTTCAATGATGCAATCTTTCCTAAGAAATGGTCATGCTTTTAAGGATAGGATTTCTAGACAACCATCTCTGTTGCTGATATATAATGCACAGATTCATTAAAAACCATATATGAGCACCTATCATATTTTGGGAATTGTATATACACTGAAAATATAGTATATAATCAACAAAACAGTCCTGGTTCCTATACTTACACTGCAGTTATCCAAAAAAACCAGGCAAATAATCATACAGGTTTTTTTCATACATGTTACTAGTAACAGTTGTCATAAAAACTGAAAATCAGAAGTTTATTTTTACAAGTCCGTCTAATAAACAGTCAGCTGACATGAACCAATTCCTCATGTTAAAAAGCACATACCATTTCATTCTTTTACAAGAGGTGTCACTCATAATCTGAGAACCTAAATGGGCAACTCCCTTCCCCTGCCGCATCCACATGCACTTAATTTATAAAGGACTTTAGGAAACCAGATTACTATATACTCAAAAGACATACTAGTGTGTTCAAAGCCCAAACAAAGCAACCCTATTATTCAGGACTGACAGACCAACTTTCATTTCAAGCATATACTGTCTCAAGACTGAGGAGTAGTTTCAAGAAAAAGGAGAACCTTTTACCCCTAAGAAAGTTCTATTTACATAGTAGACTATTTTACAGTTTCAACTATGTGACCTCAGACGTTCCTTCCAGAAAGCTACATGAAGTTCTCAAGGACAGAGACCATATGATATAAACTGTTGTACAGTTCATACAAGTAAAATACTTAGCCCAATAAACGGTACCTAACAAGGATTTAATAAAAGGTGCCAGTAATTTAGTGCTACTAGCTGTTATTATTGTTTCAGTGGTAATGAGGGCAACAGTAGCAGTTTTTATTTTTTTTAATGCTTGTTTATTTTCATCTACTTAAAATGTAGAATTAGAGTATACATGATAGAGATCTTCCTTCTGCTGACTCATTCCCAAGTGCCCATAACAGCCAAGACTGGGCAAGGCTGAAGATTACAGTCAAGAACTTCACTGGGTGTCTCTGTCAAGTGGCAGTGGTCAGGCACTTGAGCCAACATCTACCACCTGCAAGGATCCACTGGCAGAAAGCTGGATAGAAGCAGGGTAGCCGGCATGGAAACTGACACCATCACAGGGAATACGGGCATCGCAAGACGCAGCTTAATCTGCTAGGTCACAACTTGGTGCAGCAGCAGCATTCTACAGTTAGGCAACAAATACTAGCCAACTGATTAAAATCTATTCAATCATGCCCATAGGTAAAGGAAGAGTCTTTAAATCTTATCACTCTTGACAATTCTTGCCGTCTACCACTTCACATATTGATACTAAAAAGTAGTATACTGGCTTTACTTTATTCATCTATGCTCACTTCCCAACACACACATCCTATGATTTGGTCAATTGAATTTTCTCTACTTTCCTCCAAAATCCTGTACATTTCTGGTTCTGTGTCATTTATTTTTTCTCCATAAGTAAACAGAAGATCCTATTCTTCCTCATGACGGGTTCATAATCCAGAAATCCAAAAAGCTCTAAAAACTAAGGTTTTTGTTGTTAATTCTTCATTAACAAACCTGACTAGATCCATTTTGGTCTTAATTTTCATGACCTCTCTAAATTTTTTCTCATCACAATTCAGACATATCAATGTTTAGTTAAACAAGGTTACTTCAAATACCACAATGGTAGTTTACTCAATATACATTGCCTTTGTAACAGTCCAAAGTCTACACTGGTATCAAATAGTAGGGATAAAGGATTGTATACCTATGTTCTCAGACCTGCATAAGCTTGTACTAAACTGATCCATCTTTGCCTATTATCCATATAGGACAGCCTTAGACATTGAAAAAGCCATAGAAATTTGTGGTGGGATCCAAGAACAACCCTAACAACCTTTTAATAGGAGGTTGTGTGTACAGAGCAGGAGGGGAACTCAGGGTGGAACAGGAGGATAAGAGGAGGTCTGTATCCTAATCCCGGAGACTCCCAGAAGCCTCCCAAGTGCTTTCGCCACAGAAGCAATGGATACTTCGTGGACTGTCAGCATGGACACGAGAACCGTATCCTGACTGCCTAGGAGATCACAGGAAATATGAATGCCCTCGGAGGCTGAGAGCTCTGAGGTCAGTCATTTCCTATTGGATTTCCCACACGGGATGGTAGCAGCCGAAAACCCTCTCCTAGGGTCTGGTGACATAGGAACTACAGCTAGGAGCCTGGGTGGTACTCAGAGAAAAAAGGGTTATAAATTTCCTTCTGGACTCGGGAGAGGAACTTTCTCTGGTCCTTATCTAGTTCCAGCCTTGGTTCCCAGGCTTCTCTTATGCCGACCATCAGGGTTGCTTGTGAGCCCCAAAATTAGTTCAGATAGACTAATAAAGGTCAGCTACTTGATAAACACGCAGCTTGTACCTTACTGATCAGGCTTCCCATCTGGCTTTTCAGATAGATAGAAAGTCTGGAACAGCCAGGAAAACGGCCAACTAGCCTATAATTGCTCAGCCTGTAGTTACTGGTCTGGCTCCCCATTTGCTTCTCCTGGACTTTACTAGGTAGGATGTAGAATTAAATTCTTCCTCCTTCACTGGGTTGTTGGGGATGTCCCAGCTCACCTGCCTAAAACTTTCCTTCTATTGTTAAAATGCAAAGTTCTGTAAACCCATGCTTAAACACTATATATTGCAAAGTTTAAATTGTGGCTTAATTTTATCCCCCCCAAATTTTATCAATTTATTAATGCTAAACAAGAATGTAACAGTATAGAAACTTTGATGTTAACTTTATACTCAGCTGTTTTATATATATATATATACACGATGGATGTTAATGTTGATCCTTCCACTGTTCCTGTTCCACTCTGATTTAGGTTAAACTCAAAAACACGTTAGTTTGGGAGAAAAAGAAAAAACGTTTTATAGCAGCCGGTTGTGTAGAAACTGAAATTGAGATGCCAAGAAAGTAGTTACAGGATGTGGTTAAGAACTTGCATTTTCTAACATATTGGTATAAATACCATGTTAATTAACTTCATGATGTTGTTAATTTCGATGTTTCTTCCTGTTGTTGAAGTTGTTTAGTGACATCTCATTGGAGGAAATGATATTCTACCAGCTCTACTTTCAATTTCAATGAAACTATTGAATTTATCTGGATAATAAGATGCTGGACTCTCCATATGGTCCATACCTGCAATGAAGGAGTCATGACTGGAAATGATCTGTACTACTGTAACAATATGGAAGAATTCAATATGGGGGGAGGGTTTGGGGAGGAGATGGGGGAATCCCAGAGCCTATGAAACTATGTCATAAAATGATATAAAATAAAAATAAATTTTCTGAATTCTTTGTCCCCCACTTTTTCAATGTCTTCCTCAGTTAACTCTGAGGGTGTTAGAGGCTTTGTTCCTCTACTGAGGAGTCTTCGGTAACATTCATTGTGTATCTGTCTCTTCTTTTAACTTTTGACACTGCAATCCTGTTTGGTGTATTTTTCTCCTTAGTGCAGTTGTCGAAAATGTATTACCTACCGATCTGCAAGTCAGTTTTTATATTCAACCAGTGTCCTGGGTTAGGAAGACACCAAATGTCCCAAAAACTGGTTTATGAGCAGCACTAATCTTGTGTAAACACACAAGATGGCGCCCAGTGGAGCACTGCTGGAGAACTGGGGCTACTGGCTTCCCAATCCGGGGAACACACAGATCCTTCAGGATGCAAAGCTGGCACTGTCCTCCCCATGAGATTGGCTGGAAATGTGTCCACTCCAGCATCTGATCTCTTTGCTGTTAGCTTTGACCCACCACCAGTCTGTCTCACAGTGCAGGGAGTTCCCTTTCCATTCATTGCTGGGCCAAAGTATTCAGCAGGATTGGCCTGTCCCAACCTGTCTTCACCTCCTGAGCTGCCCATGCAAACACAAGCTCCCATCTGGTTGCTGCAAGGGCTGAACTGTGGCTGCCTCTGGATCCCTTGTTGTCCTTGGATTTCAGATCACAGCTCATGGGTAGCTGCTGGGTCTTCTGTTCCCTAACAACACTCCACCGTCGTCGCCTCTTCCCTGTGTCTAGATGTTTTCCAGGTGTTTTCCTTGTTGACTTCCTGACCCCTTTTTCTGTAATCTCCTCTTTGTTGTTTACCCTAATACTTTTCCATCATCTCAAACATGTCTGCATCCTTGGTTCTCTTCATGTTGACTGGTTTCTTTTTTTTCATGTGCACATTTAAGGATATTATGTGTCATGGTAAAGATTGGTTCTTATCAACCCTGTTGGGAGTTCTGTGCCCCTTCTGGATGTTGTTTCCCAATTTGTTCTTTAGATTAGAGAAAGTTTCCCTTATTATTTCATTATATACATTTTGAAACTCAGCTTCTCTTTCTGCACCTTCTGGGACTTCCATAACTCTTATATTTGGCCTTTTAATAGTGTCTTTCAATTGTTGAATACTTGTTTTAGCCTGATCCAGCTCTGCTTCCATCTTTTTGTTTGCTTCTCCCTGGTGACAGGAAATATTTTCCAATTCTGAGATTCTTTCTTCTGCTTGCTTCATTCTATTTTGGAGACTCTCCACGGTACTTTCAATTTGCTCCACTGCATTTTTCATTTCTAATGTATCAGCTTTCATTTGATTCATTTTGAATGTGACATATTCCTTAAATTCCTTGAACACTTGCTTTATGTGCTTCTTGTTGTTAAGAAGCTTTATAGCAAGTATTCTGAATTC